CTCTTGGAGGATTGGCTACATTAGGGGCGTGCCACCTAATATGCAAAGGAGTTCCTGCTACAAAAAGAGCCCTGCGTTGTAACTCAGCCTTCCACCTGTCCTCCTCTAATCACACTCACCTGAACTCTTTTCTTGCAGCTCTCTGTGTTTGCATTTGAAGACCCCAGAGAGACCCTTCGCCTGACAGCTCTGGTCCAGGCCTACATCCCGGAAGCCTTCCTGAAAGAGGACAGTGGCAGTGAGCTGACCTACATGATCCCCACCAGGGCTGACAAGGCCGCCTTCAAAGGCCTCTTCCAGGCTTTGGACGAGAAGCTTCAGTACCTCCACGTGACCGGCTACGGCATTTCTGATACCACTTTGGAAAAGGCATGTTTTGGATTCTCTCAAAAAGCTGGTAACATCTTCCTGATAATGCCATGGTTGTCATCATGACAAAGATCCATTAATATAACCTCTAACGTTGACATGCATTGAAATATACAGATATGTGTGTATGGGTACAATTATATGTGTGCTCATAATAGGAATCTTTGCCCTTTCAGACTGATTTTTGAAATATTTGGCTTGAGTGCTCCCATTTAAAAAAAAGAAATCTTAGACTCCGTATGCGGAGGTCTGTCCAATTCTACTGCTCTTTCCCAATGAGTTTTGGAGAAAATGCATCAAAAGAACATCACCAAAACGGATGAGATTGTTTCCTGGGTTTGGGGGAATCCAAAATTCCTAGCACGCATTTGTGTTGTTTTGAGGCTGACTTGTAGAATAAGAGTGTTCCCAGATGGCAAGCTGGTCACCCACTGCCCTAATGCAAAACGTTTCAGCATATGTTTATTTAGAAATATCCTTTTAACTAAGGTAGCTGCCCTTTGCTCTACTGCTGCAATTTCTACACAATCACTGATGGAAGTCTCACTTGCTGAGCCCCCGCCTTGAGTCTGTGGAAGTGTGGGACATCCTCACCAGAACCAGGGCTTTTTTTGGTAGAAAAAGCCCAGCAGGAACTCTCCATTAGCATAATAGGCCACACCCAACAGCAGGAACTTTGCCTATTAGGCCACACCCCTGACAGCACAGCTCATTGGCATATTAGGCCACACCCCCATGTTACCAGAAGTGTGCTCATCCAACCACACCCACCTTTTGCTTCTTATTCTGTTGACCTTGTTTGTTGTCAAAACCCAGGGCCTTTTTTTGTAGCAGGAACTCCTTTGCATGTTAGGCCACACACCCCTAATGTAGCCAATCCTAATGGGTTTCTGCTGTTGGGTGTGGCCTATTATGCTAATGAGTTCCTGCTGGGCGTGGCCAACTCGGGAGCCAGCCGGAACTCCGTTCCTGTGCGTTCCTGCCCCAAAACAGCCCTGACCAGAACCAAATATCAAAGGAAAGTTTTCAACCAGGGTCCATGCCAGTAACGAAGTGCTCCTACCTGCTGTTCCTTCCAACCTGGGATCTATGTGACAGAAATGGTGTTTTAAAATAGAAGGAGGAGGAGATTGGATTTATACCCCACCCTTCACTACCCGAAGGAGTCTCAGAGCAGCTTACAATCTCCTTTCCCTTCCCCTCCCCACAACAGACACCCTGTGAGGTGGGCGGGGCTGAGAGAGCCCTTTTGAGAACTGCTTTTGAGAGAACAGCTCTTAAAGAACTTGTGACTGACCCAAGGTCACACCAGCAGGTGCAAGTGGAGGAGTGGGGAATCAAACCCGATTCTCCCAGATGAGAGGCCGCACACTTAACCACTACACCAAACTGGCTCTCCATGGATACATGGATAAACACTTTGACATGGCTAGAGCAACATAATTCAGAGTACTTCCTAAAGAAAATTTAGTGGCTGGGAGACTAATCCGTGAGCCAGAAAGTCCCCAGTTCAAATTTCACCCCTACTCTGAACTTGGGCAAGTCAACATCTCTCAGCCTCAGTTTCCCACAAGAACACAAGAGGCCTCCTGGGTCAGATCAGTGCCGCGCCTTGTCTAGTCCTGCACTGTCCACAGTCACCCATCCAGGGCACAAGCAGGGGCCTGGAATCCAAGTGCCACCCCCACCTCGCTACCCCTTCAACAACCGCCCTTCAGAGGTCTCTGAGAAGGCAGCTCCTGCTCAGCATAGGAAGCAAACACGAGACCTTAAGTTCTGGGCTGGCCAATAGGGACCCGGGGATCCCACAGAATTGCAGCTCATCTGTGTCACGGGCTGGGCGGAGAGGCAGGAGTCAGGTCCGGTCTGAGGCCGTAGCCAGAAAAGTGAGAGCGAGAGCCGAGTCGCAAGTCCGAGAGGGTGGTCGACCGAATCAGGGGTCAGGAAGCCAGGAGATCCGAATGAGAGTGGGGGTCTGAGAACACAAGCCGGAAGCGGATGCGAGGCCTGCATGGAGGTGACTTGTTGCTTCCACCGGGAGCTCGATCCCGAGTGGGAGCTATATAGCCCTCCGGCCGTGCTTCCCATGGCTGCGCCGCCGCTCCTGCTAGTACTCGGGACTCGGCGCTTGCCTTCCCTGCCAGTGCGTGTCCCGGCGGCGGGTGGCTAAGTCCCCGCGGAGCCGCTCCCTCAGCCGAGCCACCCGCGGAGGTGAGTCAGGCGGGCTCCCCGGCTCCACCTGTGCCTCATTGGCTGCTGCAGGACCAGGGTGCGGGGGTTACAGACTTGGGCACCGGCAGAGGCAAGCTGTCAACTCCCAAGGAGTCAGAGGGGCCGGCGATGCCAGCGGCTCTGACTGTGCTGCCAACTCAGGCTGGTGCCCGGCGCTACGGAGATCAGTTCCCCTGGAGAAAATGAACGCTTGGGGGGACGGGGACTCTACGGCATTGTACCCCACTGAGGTCTGTGTCCTCTGTAGGCCCCACCCTCAAAACCTCCAGGCATTTTTCTACCTGGATCTGGCAACCCTACCGGAAACCAGTGTTCCCTCTAAGCTGAGTTAGTGTGAGCTAGCTCACAGTTTTTTTAGCCCCCAGCTCACACATTTTTGCCTTAGCTCAGGAAAGATGGCTCCAGAGCAAAGTGGTTTATGCAGTAGCCATATCACTTGTTCACAGCTTTAATGCCAGAAGCTCACAAAATAGAACTTTTGCTCACAAGACTCCACAGCTTAGCGGGAACACTGCCAGAAACATATCCTCCCCTTAACATCCAGCCAGATTAATCCAAAAACTTATATAGTGTTTTGTATTATTTTGGCTGGTTCTAAGGAAATGCTTTTTCCCCCATATGTTCATACTATACTTTTATTCTGCCCTCTCTACAAGGAGCTTAGGGCAGAGTGTATTGCTCTCCCTTCCGCCCCCCCCCCCACAATCAGGTGAGACTCAGAGAGGGTGACTGGCCCTTTGACCTTCATGGGATAGATTGGAATTTTTGTTGGATCGCCAGTGTGGTGTAGTGGTTAAGAGCAGCAGACTCTAATCTGGAGAACTGGGTTTGATTCCCCACTCCTCCACATGCAGCTGCTGGTGTGACCTTGGGTCAGTTACAAGTTTTCTCGGCTGTGATCTCAAGAGCAGTCCTCGAGAGAGCTCTCTCAGCCCCACCTACCTCACAGGGTGTTTGTTGTGGGGAGGGGAAGGGGAAGGCGCTTGTAAGCCGCTCCGAGACTCCTTCGGGTAGTGATGGGCGGGGTATAAAACCAGCTCTTCTTCTTCCTTTGAACATGGGATTTCCAGATCCAAGTCTGGTACTGTAACCATTATACCTTGCTCCTTTCAGCTGGGGATATCATTGATTTAAACCTTCAGCATGCAAAGCAGATGATCTGCCACTGAACCACTGCCCCTCCTTCAAAGGAACTAAAAATTAAAACCCGTTTTTAATTTGCAGGATTTGCTTTTGAGTTCTCTTTCAATTATATTAATCAAAAACTGTAATGAAACATACCCACAGAGCCTGCCACCCCCAGGTTGCTGTTTTCCAGGGAGGTGAAATCTCTGAAGAAGCTCCGTAAACAATTTTAGCAAGCAATTAATTTCCCCGCACTGAAATCAGAAGAATTCGTACTTAACAAACTTTGTGTAGAATTAGCTGTTGTAGATTTTCCGTACGGCCATGATCTCGACATTGTAGGATCTGATGTTTCGCCAGCAGCTGTGACTGGCATCCTCAGAGGTATGACACAGAAAAACGGAGTACTCTCTCTGTCAAGGTGAGAAGAAAAAGGGTAAGCAGGTAATTTATATCTACTCAGGAAGGTGGGGTAGGGCTGAGTCATTATCCTGTAGGAGTCCCCCAGGCTGTGAAAACATGCTAATGGACACAGAGAGTACTCCATCTTTCTGTGTCATACCTCTGAGGATGCCACTCACAGCTGCTGGCGAAACGTCAGGTCCTACAATGCCAAGACCACGGCCACACAACCTGGAAAATCTACAACAGCTAATGAACTCCGGCCGTGAAAGCCTTCGACAACATGTTGTGTGTAGAATGTCAGCTGTATTAAAGATAATTGCATACCTATTTCCTCTCTCTTTTTTCCACCCAAAGGTGTTTTTGAAACTACTGCAGAGCACAGAGAAGACATCACAAATCCCAGTAGTCATGGACATGGGGTTCACTCAGTCTGATATTGGGGAATCGACACACAAAAATGGTAAAGTTAAAAAAAAAAAAGGTTATTTTTTGAGACATCTCAGTTTGCCGTTTAGTTCTATAAAACAGTGACTGATGAAATCTGAAGTTTAAGGGCTGGATTCCAAAAGAGTCGAAACATTAAAAGTAGGTTAGCCCAGGACACATCAGTGGCTTTCAAGTTCCCTCATGGTGGCCTTGAAAGCAAATCAACATCCCCTCTTGTAATTTCCTCCAGAGCCTCTGATCTCTCTGCCTGCTCTAAGTTGACCTTTCTCATGGGCAGGGCCTCCCCCGTCTGGTCTGCTTGGCCCCTCTTGCTCTTACAAGTAAGTCATCTATCTGCTTCCCATCGGACCTTTGCTGTCATGGTCCCTTTCTGACTCAGCAGCTCCGACATAACAGGCTTCACTCAGTTTCTGGTGAACCTTGGTCTGCATGAGTGTTTAGAATAGGCTTTGCAACACATGACCCACCGTCACTTGTCATGTGTGTATGGTGACCCACCGGCGGGTTGATAAAACTTGCTGTTTTTAGTGCCTGCTTGGGACTGCAGATTCATTAGGGGATTTCCAGAAACCCAGTTGGTCACAGTATAGGGCTAGTGGACTATTTAGGCAGTTTGTTGCATGCATAATTTAGAAAGAACAAGGGCACAGGTAGGGTTGCCAGTGTGACAGTCAGTTTGGTGTAGTGGTTAGGAGCACAGACTCTAATCTGGGAGGACCGGGTTTGATTCCCCACTCCTCCACATGCAGCTGCTGGTGTGACCTTGTGTCTGTTACACGTTCTCTCAGAGCTGTTCTCTCAACAGCAGTTCTCGAAAGAGCTCTCTCAGCCCCACCTACCTCATAGGGTGTCTGTTGTGGGAAGGGAAAGGGTGAATTGGTAAAGGGTTTCGCCTTGGTGTTTAGTCATGCCGGCCACATGACCACAGAAACGTCTTTGGACAGCGCTGGCTCTTCGGCTTTGAAATGGAGATGAGCACCGCAACCCTACAGTCGGACTCGACTGGCTTTCGAGCAAGGGAACCTTTACCTTTACCTTTACCTTCCTTGAGATAAGGGATAAAACTCACAAGACGAAAAGCTGCATTAAAACTTTGGCATTGCTTTTATATATGCACGATAAGCAAGCAAATTCATATGAAATACAGAAATCATTTATGTAGGCGCCCAGCTTTTATAATATTCACTAGCAGTAAAGCCCGTTGTGAAAGCAATACAACGGGATCTAGAAAGAGGCTCTGGGGCAGTGCTCTGGCTTTGGGCAAACAGTGTCAATTTGCTGTGGTGACCTCAGCAGGGTATAATGACAGAGTCCACTGTTTTCTCCAGAGGAACTGATCTCTGCTACCTGAAGAGCAGTTGTAATTGTGAGTAATCTGTAGCCCTCACCTGGAGATTGGCAACAATTGTTACCCAGGACAAAACGGCTGGTTTGGAGGGTGGAGTCTATGGCAGTCTACCTGTCTGAGGTCCCACCCCTCCTCAAACCTCACCCTCTTCAGGCTCCATCCCTCAAACCTCCAGGAATTTCCCATCTGGAGTTGGCAACCCTATCAGGACTGGCCCCAATGTGTTTTCTCCCAAAGGCCAAAGTAGGTGACAGGACCAAGCTTAGTTGCCTACCAACAGGCACTGAGGGGAATGTAGGGTTGCCAGCTCTAAGGAGGGAAATACCTGGAGGTTTGGGGGGTGGATTCTGTAGAGGGCCGGCCGACGGAGGCCTCGGCCTTCTGTCGCCCGCCTTGCCCCCCCAATCTCGGCCCGGGCGACCGCGGCTCCACTGCAGAGCAGTTGTAATACTGAGTGCTCTCCAGCCCTCACCTGGAGATTGGCAACAATGGTTCCCTATGTGAGACTGACTGGTTTGGAGGGTGGAGTCTATGGCAGTGTACCTGTCTGAGGTCCCACCCCTCCTCAAACCTCACCCTCTTCAAGCTCCATCCCTCAAGTCTCCAGGAATTTCCCATCTGGAGTTGGCAACCCTATCAGGATTGGCCCCAATGTGTTTTCTCCCAAAGGCCAAAGTAGGTGACAGGACCAAGCTTAGTTGCCT